AACTCGGCATAAGAGACATAAAAACTGAAAACATAAAAAAAAAAAAAAAAAATTTTACTTAGGTGGAAATGGGCCTTCCATACTGAACATGCAACTGATTCAAACCTGCATTCCCTGTGTGAACACCATAGCTACAACAAAAGAAAATCATCTGCTCCAATGCTGCACCACAGCATTTTCCCACTGATCTGTAAATTATCTCTCATGGACTTCAGAAGAAACGAAAGAAAAAAAAACTCTTAAATGGAATGCCACAGGCTGTTAGGAGTGAAGTCAAGCTTGCTTCTAATTTTCAAACAGCACAGACTACAACCAGAGAGCGCTGCTCAGAAGACTAATTCTGCTTTCACATTGCCTAAGAGACCAGAACCCAACAGACCGAGTGAACGCGCTGGACCTTTCTGCTCATGCCTGACTAGCCGACATATGAGTTTGAAGGTAGACACTATGAAGCTGTGCTTTATAATGGATGGGAGGGTGGGATTGACAAGAGAAGGAGCCGAGGTGAAAGAAGTTAATTGTGTGTATGTGTTTGTGTTCATGTTGTTTGGGAGTACAATTCTGATTAATGTTTTAGTTTAAACAAGGGATTGTTTTAGGGTTGTTTTTCATTGAACAGATGCTCAGGTACAATACCAGACATATGTGTGCTGCTCTTGTGTGTGCATGTCTGAAGTGGTCTTAGACGTGTACAAGTGTGGCTGTGGTAAACTGAGACGGTCCTGTGTATGTTTGTGTAGGATTGGTGAAGGACCTCAGTCTAATTAAAATCTTATGAGTGTCTCATTCATTACAGCAATTAGAGGGGAAGGATCCACTCAGACCGGAGCATTTGACTGCGAGCTTCGTGCTCAGAGAATGCAAATCATGAAAAAGAAAAAATAATACAGGATAGGATGGGTTGCATGGGAATTGGGATGCTGACAGACAGGTAGACACACAGTCATGGTCTCTCTCTGTCTTTCATTTTCTGAAACACACAGACATATATTCATTAATAGCTTATGCTCTGGAGCAGGTGGTGTGTACTCACTTTCTCATAGTACTTGATCTCGTATTCGGTGATGACGCCATTGGGCTGCTCTGGTTCCTGCCAGGAGAGCTGAACGCTGTGCTGCTGAACTCGCTCCCTCATCACCTCACTCACTTGCGATGGGGCTGAAAGAAAGAAAACAGGAAAGATACTGAGTTTTAGTAATTCTGTACACATATTCAACTAGTACGATTTAAAACAAAACAGTATCTTAAATCATGAAATTGACATGCCATGCATTTTCATTTTTTAAATTCATTGATATTTGTTCATCTCTACAAAGCTTAGTATTTTGTATTTTTATCGATTCATTTTTAAAACTGCATTAATGTAAATTTTAAAAATGTCTAATTGTCAAGTCAAGTCAAGTAATTACCTATATTTAAGATAATGTGTTAAACACTTGTTAACAAAAACATATAAATAATAATAATAAATAATAGGGAGGATTATTACTTATAGTATTAGATGGTGTTTGGATCAAAGAACTTAAAACAAATCAACCTCATATTGAGCGAACAGCACCTTAATATATTCATATATGCATAAAAAAAAACTATTCCCTTGCTTTAATGCAAATTCAGTACCTGGTTGGCACAAATACACACAGACAGAATCTTGTGTCACTACTGCTCCTGCTGATGAATATTCACTTGGTGGCTGCTAAATGTTTACACCTCATAATGGAAATTTCAATTACTGAGCAAACAGCAGAAGACAGCCTTATCCCACTCAGAGTAAAACTGCAACGTCTGGCTTATGAATGTCAATTAAGTCAAATTAATTCTGCCGATACATGCGGAAGCATATTTTAGAGAAATGTACCCTAACCCTGCCGCTGACTTTCCCGGCGTCTCATTTATTCCCTCCCTTTAGCGCTGATTCCCGATCCACGTGTGCCTCCTATACAGTTTCTTATCCAGTGTGCCATAATTGTCTTTAAATTACAAAGTTATTGCACACTGTGTACAACTTGGTATACTATTACCAAATGCTGTGTGAATTTAAAACGAGAAGCTTGTGGGTAACCCAAATTAAATTCCTTGTTTTTAATAACTTCAGAAATAAGATACAAGAATCTCAGAAGGTAACCTTCGGATAAGGACGTTCTAGAAGAAGTGTATGGAAATGTAGCGTTCATGCATACGCCATTAATGAGTGTCCATTCTCAACCTACGTCTGTTAAAGTAAGAAAAGTCTTTCCTCAAGTAGAGGGGAAGGAAAAAGAGAATTAGTCTTCGAGAGGAATTTAACTGAATTTAACTGAAAATTACAGGACCACGGATGGCAACAGTCAGATCGTGTTTTGACATATCTAGTGTAATCCAACTAAAATAATCTAATTTCTCATCCAGATCTAAAGGTCGGCCAGACCGACTCAGACATGAACACATACCACACTGTGCCGGCCTACATGCTTATTTGTAACAGCAGCCAAATTCCTTGCTGTCTTTAAGAGGCTATTCAATCCAAACCACAGCAATCGTACTGATGCATTTAGGGATGTTCTATACTCAAAGTGTTTTAAACTCCCTCGGCTGGAAGCTGATGAAGAGGCTGGCTTTTTTTCCTACTTTCAGCTGTAGTCAAAGCAGTCCGAACATCTCAAAATCTGTGTTTGTTTTTCCTCTCTGTCCACATTTATTGTATGCAGAGAGTGTCAATTACCCATGAGGAGTGGGGCGATGCAGGCAGGACATAGCAATTTAAAGAGCACACTTGTACAGCACAGAACCAGTTGTACTGGAGTAATTGGATCTTTTGCCCCTTTCAACTGACTGCTTCTTCTGTGGTAGTGGGTATGAGGTGCTTGACTGTCTCTTGGAGTAATAGCCTCGATCCTTTTAACCTGATCTGGGAAATGAAAGTTGTGACTGTTTCTCTGGAGTTACTTTTCCCACATGAAGTGTTTTCTTGTTATTTTTGTATATCTATTTCCATATCCAACACACCCTCTGACTTCTGAATTTAGTTACACTACACAAACACACGTACATTGCTTTTGGGATCTCCGAGGCACATTTCCCTTGACAAGTCAATCTGTTAGTCACTTGTATTTACTTGTAAAAGCACTAAACTTTGGCCCCAAGGTAAAAGACGTTTGCTAGTTTTGACAACAGGTGGTGGCCACTTGTTAAGAATAAAGCCAAATAATAGTAAGTTTGGCTTCAAATATGCTAGTCTCAATGTAGAAATGTACAAGGATAGATGTATGTGTAAAGAAACTAGACAAGAAAGAAATTCTTAAAACCCCTTTGAAATCCAAATTGGCTTTTAGTCTGTTAAATTACAGGCCATAAGATACTGAAGAGATAAACTGATATTCTGACCGATAATTACATTAAAGTCATGTCTGATAACTGATAATTTTGTCAAAATAAAAATATGTATTTAAAAGAAAAATAATGATTTTAATTGCTACAAGTGAAGAAGTATCTTGCTAAAGACTATACTTAAGAGTGTCGATACATAATAAAAAGTAATCCAAATGTAAAAATAAAGGAAATGAGAATAAATAATTATACAATATCAGCCTATATTGGTTTAAATAAATAAATGAATAAATAAAATAAAAACTGCACTCGTCAAGCAATTTTTTATGGGGTCTGAGACAAAAAAAAAAAAAAAACTTCTAAGAACAACCATACCACTTTCAAAAGCACTTTCACTACATCCCTCTCATGAAAGCTAAAACACAAAAATCTAACTCCTGTTCGCACTTTTTTCATATTTGACATCATGTAAGGCAGAGTCCAAACTTTCATCATAAACAGCAGCCTCCCGTTCCAGCAATGTGGGACCGGCTGCCGTCCCCTCTCTCTGCTAAGAACCAGCTGGGTAATTGAAAATTGAGCGTAGTGACAGCCCTCATATCGACTCGAATCTGCAAACTGGAAGAGAGACCCTGAGTTCAGTGTTAATATGGAGGAAATGTGTCCCTCACCCCCTCTCTGTGGCACCTTCCCCATGGTATGTTTAACCACTGCCCTATAACAACCATTAATGACATGCTTACCTCAGAGCGAGTCAACCCACTCCCACTTTTATCGCACGCCTAGCGCAGCAGAAAATCGTATAATTGTTCCGTCTGTCCTGAAGCGGCTGTGCGAGGGTGGAGGGGGCATTTTGTGTGCAGTGGTTGGGTGACATAAAAGCAGATATTAGTGACCTTCTCGAGCCTCCTAATGCATAAGTTAATTCAAGCAGAAGCAAGCGTCTATCATGTTCTGCATTAGAATACATTAGGGATACATTATGCATGGATGTTTTTAACTACTCTCACCTCCTTTCTCTCTTTCCCTCTTTTGGCTGGCTGTGGCGTTTCTAGAGTATCTGAAAGCGCAGAAGCACTAGAATGCCATTATATAACAGAAATCATTTTCTCTCTCTGGTTTGTCTGCACAGTATTAACTTTGAAGTATTTTAATTATCCAGCCACTTAAAGTCACCGATTTCTTTTCATCCACCTCAAAATTATCGAACAACTCTGAGCTCTTATCAAGAAACACCGACTGAAACGGCGCCACAAACATGTTCTCAAGTGCTGCATTGCAGTTCCTATTCTTTGACAAGCCTGAGATGGAAGAATGGAGGTTTCGCTTTAGCCAAGGGCGTAGGAACGATCTGAGAAGCACATTATAACCTTATCAGCCTGGCTCATGAATATTAATGAGGCGATGTAACGTTTGCCCAGTAGTTCTAACTGGTTTGCTATAAAGCAGATGGGTGCTGAGTTTGTTTGATCGATTGCTGATACTACTAACATTCGGCAGAGGCTTCTGCTTGGCCGTAAACTGTCCTTTTTAGGTGGCTGGCTAAATTATTAGTGCACAAAAATCCTTGTCAGGAATGAGTTTTGAACTTTCTAAGCATTGCTATATTCAATATGGCTTTAAGTGTAATGCATTTTCATAATGTGTAAATTAAATATTTCAGAATATTGATGGGCCTATGAAGTTTACAGTCACAAAGTCAAGTCAGTAATTTATTTAGCACAATTTAACAGAGGCTGATGCAAAGTACTGTACAATTTTAAATAAATCAACAAACTAACAAATAAATACTTTTAGTAAAAGTCTGTATTAAAAGTTAGTTAATTAAAGGTTAAATAAAATATTAAATATATTATAAATCTTGGGGAAATATATATTAAATTATATTATAATAAATAAATAACCATCCTTGGCTGTAATAAATAAACAAACAAATAAATACTTTTAGTAAAAGTCTGTATTAAAAGTTAGTTAATTAAAAGTTAAATAAATTATAAAATATCTTATAAATCTTGTAAAAAAAAAAAATAATAATAATAATAATAAATAATAATAAATAAATAACCTTCCTTGGCTGTAATCTGTCATTTAATGTGGCCGGCTACATTTTTATTTATTTATTTTTTTTCAGTAAAAGCAAAGAACCTAACCAAATTAAAGAAAGTGACAGAGATAAACAGTTTGACTAAAGAAATGCTGCAGATACACCTGGCTGGGGGGTTAAGACAGGTGGGTGGGACGGCCTCTCTACCGATTCCTGTCTTTAGTTGGATATTTTTTATATTTATGGTCATCTCTCAGCTGGAGCGCTAGGCTTTATTAGAGCTGGGCCTCCCATAGACAACTTTTCCAGAGCCCTATGAAAACATCGAGATCGGCGACAGAGTTCTCGTCGGACAGACACTAACGAGGGCTGACGTAATCAACATTACTTAGCTTGACATTTTGACTCCGAGCCGGAAAAGAAAAAAGGCCCTCAGAAGAGATGGAGCAGTATAAAAAAACCTCAAGGAGAGGCTGAACCGATGTGTGAGAGTGTGTAAATGAATATGTGGACGGAGACAGAAAGCGTGGGTGTTAGATCTGCCTCATTATTGCCCCTGGCTACCACAAAGTGTGTGTGTGTGTAGGCATGGGACGATAACCAGTTTCAAGGTATACCGCAGTTTGGAAAAGTCACGGTTTCAAAACCACAAAAATTTTCCATTATACCGTTCCTGCGGTATGCACAGTTTTTTTACGTGTCATCAAAGACGGAAAGTGCAGGACTCCCTCAGTTGTGTGCAGCGAAGAGCGTAACAAGTCACATGACCCCTCCCCCTCCGGTTGGTGCGAGCAGTCAGTGAGAGTCA